TTCCTTCTTCTCTTTGACAAACTTCCATCCCGAGGTAATAAGTGAGCTTCCCTAGATCCGACATCTCAAACTTTGATGACATACCTTTCTTGAATTCACTAATAACCTTGAGAGTATTTCCCATCACAAACAAATCGTCAACATAAACCGCAACAATTAGAGGGTACCTTCTTCATCCTTGCGATACACGGAATTCTTCATAGAGCATTTCTTGAACTTCAACTCTTTCAAGATTTGATCCAATTTCGTGTTCCAAGCTCTAGGAGCTTGCTTTAGTCCGTATAGCGCCTTTGAAAGTTTGTAGAATTTGTGTTCTTCTCCTTTTACTTCAAAACCTTCCGGTTGATCAAAATAAACATCTTCTTTTAATTCTCCATGTAAGAATGCAGTTTTCAAATCCAAATGATGAATCTCCTATCCATGAGATGCCGCCAATGCAATCAATAACCGAATGGTTTCAAGTCGAGCGACCGGTGCGAACACTTTTTCAAAGTCAATCCCGGATTCTTGTACGTATCTTTTAGCTACAAGACGGGCCTTGTATTTATTGATAGTACCATCCGCATTCTTGTTGATCTTAAAGATCCACTTGAGACCAATCACTTTTGCTCCGATCGGTTTTTCAACTAAAAAACCAAGTCTTGTTTTGGTTGATAGAATCAATTTCTTCTGTGCTTGCTTTTCTCCACTCTAATAGACCCTTTGCTTCGTTGTAGTTTATCGGCTCATCATTTATTGAAAGTAGAAATCTCTTTACTTCTATCTCAGCTTGTAGTACATAGTCTTCAAGACGCTTTGGTATAACAATTTAGCGACCCGATCGTCTTAATTCTTGCGCTTGTGGTACATGTGGCTGTTGTTGTTCTTGTTGATGTGTCTCGGGGTAATAAGTATCATCGTCGTTATGATAATCTTCATCCGTGTTGTTGATGTTACCTTGATCATGGTCGGAATCACCATTGTTTCCTATTTCGTCGTGATCTTCTTGTTCATCATTGTTAACAACCACAAGTCCTTCTCCAACATCTATAACTTCACCCCATCTCATATGAAACATTCCCGGATACTTACTTGCTCCGTCTCTTGTTTCATTCCAACTCCAACTCTTTTTCTCATCAAAGACCACGTCACGGCTTACAACAACCTTTCTCGTTGTCGGATTGTAGAGTCTATATGCCTTAGATCCCGGCTCGATCCCAAGGTGTACAAGAGTCTGTGATCTATCATCTAGATTTCTTAGGTGAGTAGTTTCAATTTTCGTGTATGCTAAACACCCGAAAACTCTTAAATGATCTAAGCTTGGTTTCTTCTCTCGCAAGCTTTCGTAAGGAGTCATATTCTCAAGAGCTCTTGTAGGTATCCTATTAATGATATAGGTGGAATGTCGAACTGTCTCACCCCATAGGTAATTAGGTACCTTCTTAGCCTTGACAATGTTTCTAGTCATCTCCATTAAAGTCCTATTTCTTCTCTCTACCACACCGTTTTGTTGCGGTGTATACGGTGCCGTGAGGTGTCTCTTTATCCCGTTTTCTTCGCAAAAATCTTTGAACTTCGTTGACGTGAACTCTCCACCTCGACCAGTCCTTAGAGTTATGATTTCTTTCTTGAATTCCTTCTTAACCAATTGTCTAAACGCCTTGAATTTTCCAAAAGCTTCTCCTTTTTCTTTCATCAAAATTGTCCACATACACCTAGAAAAATCATCAATGATAACAAAAACATACTTGTTGTTAGCAATTGTTGATGGTGATATGGGACCACAAAGATCGGCGTGTAGTAGCTCCAATGGTTTAGTGGCTCGAAATATCGCCGCATTTGGAAAGGAACCACGAACTTGTTTTCCGACTAGGCATGATTCGCAAATTCTGGTTTCGTCTTTGATCGTTGGTAATCCTTGAACCATCTCTTGTTGAGACATGCTTCTCATTGTTTTGAAGCTTACATGTGCCAACCGTGCATGCCATCTCCACGTCTCATCTTCTAGTGTTGTACTTAGACACATAGGCTTTCCAATTCTTAGACTTACTTTGTAGAGTATTTGGCGATCTTGTAGTCTTCACTAGGAGTCTTCCGCTTGGATCATAGAGAGTAAGGTAGTCTTGCTTCATCCTCACGTCACAACCGGCTTCGGTTGCTTGCCCGAGACTAAGGATGTTGCTTTTCAAATCGGAGATATAGTAGATATCCGTCACAAGTCTTTGTTCTTCGGTTTTACTTTGGAAAAGTATTGATCCTTTTCCTCCGATGTCAATACATGATCCGTCTCCGAACTTAACTTTTCCCTTAATTTTCTCATTGAGGCGGAAAAGGAAGCTTTGTTTCCGGTCATGTGGTTACTTGCTCCGTTGTCGAGATACTATACTTTGTCTTCTCCATCTTTAATCTCGTAATTCCTTGGAATCACCTTTTCTTCATTCAAAAAGACCACTTCATGCATATAAAGAGCAGCATCGGCTTCTTCCGTCTCCGTCTTGTTTGCTTCATGTGTTCTTTGATTTCTTTCTGGACAAGAAGAGGCATAGTGACCTGGTTTGTCACATCGATAGAAAATTATTTTTGTTATATCCCTCTTTGCTTTAGCTTGGCTTTGATTGTCTTGATTTGTTACCCTTTCTTGTGAGTTAAACCTACCTCTACATCGTCCTCTGTATCCTCTTCCTCTGTCTCTCCCTCTTGAATTGTTGAAATTTTGTTGATATGTGTTGGCGTATAGAAGTTCACTTTGAGATTCTCCTCCGACTTCTTCATCAAGAATTCTTTCTTCATATGCTTTTAGTCTCCCAACAATATCTTCAAAACTAGTTTTGTTCAAGTTTAAAACTTGTTCAAGAGAGGCTATGATTTGAATAAACTTTCCTCTTGGTAAGCTATTAAGGAATTTCTTCACGAGTTTGGTTTCCTCAATCTTTCCACCAAGTGAGGAAGATTTTGACGCTATCTCCGATAACTTCCCCGAGAAGCTATCAATCGTATCCTTATCCCTCATCCTAATTCTTTCGAATTCCGACATCAAGGTTTGAAGCATTGCTTCCTTGACTTGATCAGCAACTTGATGACGTGATTTAATCGCATCCCTTTTTCTTTATTTAATTGAATCATGTTTCCTTTCATAGCTCCTTGTCTTGTCTCTTTCTCTATGTGTGAGTAGTTTCATAATTGGGTTTTAGGGTTCTTAGTAGAAGATTCAATGAATTGGTGAATTGATTGTCATTAGAAATTCTCTAATTGGTGAATTGATTCTCATTAGAAATTCTCTATCTTTAAGTTCTTTGATTCACATACTCTTAATGCTAGAATAGGATTGATCACCCTGCTTTAGATGATATGTTTTTCTATACATCAAAGTGTTCGATTGAATGCCTGAACGAATGTGAATTGAGCAATGTGTTTCTAACCAATGAGAGTTGATGCTAACACATTGTGAACCAAATTAACTTGTTTGATAATGCGAATTTAACTAAGAAATTACAAATTGAAGTTTAATAATTGAGTAGTCAAATTTAGTGACTAATAATGTCTTGAAAGAGAATTAGTCTAAACTTCTGTTCATGTTCGAGAACGGTTCTTCATTGTTGAATTCCTTGTTTCATGTATCTCAATAATCCTTGTTTCTTGAAATACCCTATGGCCCAATGTCTTTAATTCATAAGTTTAATCGTTTATTTACTTTACATTTTTATTTGAAAATTTGAAAACCAACAAACAACCTTTCCGCTTTAGCTAAGAACGAATCTCGCAAATCTTTAGTGAACCATTGGTTTTTGTAGATCGACCTCATATATACTATCTTGCAGTTAAGCGTATCGGGTAATTACTCGAGTACTCACTGATGTATGTGGGTAATGAAGTTTCGAACTATGATTTTGGGGAGATACAAGTTTTGGAAGTTTTAATTGGGGGGATATAGGTTTCGAAGTTTGTTTTCGGAGATATCTAGCACGAGGTCATAATATGGTGTGGATCTAGTGTGATATCGATAGTTCTCGTGGGGAAATAGATCGTTTTCCCTCCTCATCTTATATGTTGTTTGGTAAAATATTCGAGAGTTCAAGTAAGAAATATTGAGTAAAATTGATAGATATAGAGATCTTGTAGATGATTTTATATGTGAATATAGAGTGAATGATTTTACATAAGAATATTATCGAATATAGATAAAGTTTTAGGCTTTTTATTATGCAAATTTTTAGAATCTATCTGAATTGAGTATGTATGTTGAGCTGTTTAACCTTTCTAGCCAGTTATTAGGTAGCATGTATATAAAATTTGATAGTGATATCTCGTATATGAGCAATAGGTCAGCTAATATGTGCTAATTAATTGATTATGCGCAATTCTACTGCGTTTGGATTAGTGATGCAATATGGTTTCTTTGAATGAGGTATTGATGCAGTCATCGAAGAGGAGATTCCAACTTTGCCATCCACATTTATTGAGGAGGAAACCGATGCAACAAACCTGAAGACAACTAGCCGAGTGGAACCGCCAAATTTGTCTCTAGGATCGGTAAAGAGAGTTCGTGGACAAAATTTCAAGTGATTTATGGATTTGTTCATTTTGGAAACGATTATCACTACAGGAATATCGGGTATTAATAGCGTCTGAAAAACGCTGTCTAAAGATATAATAGCGTTTTGGAAAGCGCTGTATATACGCCCGCTATAATAGGTAAGTGACTTTAGATAGCGTTTTTCTGTAATGCTATAATATGTTTATATAACATAGCGTTTTCTTTTCTGCTATTATAAATTATATAATAGCGTTTTTTGTGTGTTATTAAAAAGTTAAGCATTTAGAAAAATTGATATTTGTTGTTTTTTAATATTATATATAATATTGTAATTATATATAATATTAGTACTACATAATATTTTAATATTATATATAATATTATAATTATTGCTTTGACAAAAAAGACTTTAAATTAAACTTAAAATTAAAACTGGATTTAAAACCTGTCATTTTAAAAGATCATACAAAGAGTAGTACTACACCATGAGATAGAACAATGTTTTTTGACACAAACTTATGCTCACATGAATACAATATGCTTGTTAGGCCAAGCCACCCAGTTTCCTACTGCATCAGATATTACTTGAATTTCAGAATTTGGTCTCCACACTCGTGCACCATCAATCTTGGAAACCTCTACCCAGATCTTGCTAGCATTGGGACCTAAAGGACAGAGATGGACCTTGTCTTCTGGATCAGTGGAACAAGTACCTACATCTCATTTTAAAAAGAATGTATGATTAATAGATACACATACTAGTAGTTAATAATGAAATATAACAAAATTTAAAAACAAGTACCTCTCAAATGGATACATCCATCTGAAATGTACGGGGCCACCCAAGCGAGCTTCCCTTGCTAGATGTATTGGAAGGTGAAACATGATGTCAAAAAGTGAAGGCGGAAAGAATCTCTCCAATTGGCACATTGTTTCCACGACCTCTGATTCTAGTGTAACTAGCTTCTCTGGATCAATAACACGTTGGCATAGTCTACTGAAGTAATTGCAGAGACGACTAACTGCAATCCGCGGTCCTTTTGGAAGTAAACCTCTCAATGTCACAGGAAACAAATTTTGCATTAGAACATGATGGTCATGCGATTTCAGACTACCAATATTGGGAGGATCAACTGATACACAATTTGCTATATTTGCACAATAGCCATCTGGACCTCTGAACTTGGATAGCCTTTTGCAGAATTTACGTTTTTCTTCCTTAGAAAGCCAATAAGCAGCTGGAGGTAAATAAGTTCGCTTCCCACGTACCTCTGGATGTAAGTTGGTTCTGATTCCAATGTCTTCTAAATCTTGTCTTGCTTTCAAACCATCCTTTGACTTCACAGAATGCATCAGAATAGACAACAGTGCATCAGATACATTCTTCTCAACATGCATTACATCAATATTATGCCTTACAAGCATATACTGCCACATAAAGTACAAGAGTTGTCAGAAACACATTTTAATACTTTAAACTAAAACACATACAAAAAACAGAATGTACAAACTACTAACCTTCCAGTAAGGTAAGTCAAATAAGATTGACCGTTTTTTCCACCGCCAAAGAACATTGTCTTCTTCATATTCTTCAGCTGAAATAACATCTTCATCATCCACATCTCTCTTTCTCCTCTTACCTTTCTTATCTAAAGGTCGTCCAAAATCATTTCTGAAGTCTTTAAGACTCTCAAATATTTCAGCTCCACTCTGAATTCTGTTTACAGTACCAGACTCCACAGTGTTGTCAAACCAATGTTTTTTTCTTCTATAGGGATGACCAGGTCTGAGACGCTTCCTATTACCCATGTATACATGTTTCCGACTAAACTTTAGCCACCTATGAGGTGTATCCTTCCCACAAACATTACACGCTTGTTTCCCCTTCACTTTACATCCAGCTAATGTCCCTAAGACTGGGTAGTCTGTAATAGTCCACAACAATATAGCTCTAAGATTGAAACTCTCTTTAGCAAAGAGTCATAAACTTTCATACCTTCAGTCCATAAACTTTCATACCTTCAATTTTTGTTGTTATATTCAAATCGGAAGTTTGCATTTTCTCTCTTTTTGGGTTCTACATTTAGAGTTCGAAGTTTAACAATAAATATGGGAGAAAATTTCTAAGACAGAAAAAAATATATGACTGCAATATCTGATATACTTTCAGTTAAAATTGTTTTACTTACTCGATCAATGTAAAAGTTTTACAACGTTAGCGAGAGATTAAACTCTGCCATCAACAATAACAAGTGTCAAATTCTAATAATAATTTTTTATTTATTTTAATTAATAATATTTTAATAAGATATTTAGTTTGTTACTATGTCTATATATGATATAATTTACTGACACATATCAAAAGTTAATTTGTTATCTATTTATGTCAAAACTAAATCAATTATTGATATGTGTCCAAATTTGATTATTTGTAATTATGTCATATGTTGGATTTTCCCTTGCTTTATAAAGAAACATATCTAATTTTAGTTTTTTTCTTTTAATTTATTTATTTATTTGGACAATCATATCTTGTTTTGGAGTCAAATTATCATACCTAATTTTAGTGAAAAATAATTATTAGTTTGTTAAACATCTGACAAAATTTAACTAATTATAGAGATATTTTACAATTTCAGTAATTGTAATTACATCATTTGTCATTATATAAAATTTCAAAAATGAAACGTATCAAATTTTAGTTCATGCATTAAAAAGAAATAACGACACTGTAGTCTCTAACATTATATAAGAAGGATAAGAAAGTGTAAACCAAATCATCGTACCTTCACTGAATCAAAAGCTCTCAAAAAGAAATCAGAAAAATACAAAATTGGACCCCAAAGTTTGAATTTTTCAAATTTTACCCCCAAACTTCGTCTCTTCGTTTTGTCTTCTCTCTCACTTCGCCGTTAAAAGCCGTAGCAACAAAAATCCCCAAAACCCTAAACTCTCAGCCGCCCCTTTGTTCAAATGGCGAAGAAGAAAGTGTCTCGTAACTCCAATGGAGCTTCCAATGAGCAACAACAAATCCAGAATCAGTCAGTACCAGTCACTTACCAGAAACCGACGAAGCTAAGTCGTGAATCGTCAATGGAGGACCATGATTCGTCGGAGGAGAAGTTTCAGAATTTGAAGTCACTCAATGCGATTCTTCTGAAGCAAACTATGGAGAAGAGACAACAGATTGAATCTCTTTTCCAGGCGAAAGATGCGTTGGAGATCGAGTTGGTTCGTTCCGGGAAGGAGAAGACTTTGCTTCGGGAGGAGTTGTGTGGTTCGAATGATGAGAATTTCATGTTGAAGCTTGAAATGGATTTGTTTATGGGTTTTGTTGAGAGTCGTGTTAAGGAAATGGGTGTTAAAGTAGATCTGTTGGTTAAGGAGAAGAGTGATAGAGAGATTGAGATTAGGGATTTGAAAAGAGAAGCTATTGGTTTGATGAGGAAGTTAGAGAGTGAGAGAGAAGAGTTTAGTGGGGTTTGTGGTGAGAGGGATTTGATTAAGAGTGGGTTTGATTTGCAGAGTGAGGAGATGAATCGATTGAAGGAGAGTGTGGTGAGGTTGGAGATGAAGGAAGTGTATTTGGGAGAAGAAGTTGGGAGGTTGAAATGTGAGAATGGTAGATTAGTGAAGGAGAGGAAGAAGAGAGAGGAGTTGATTGAGAGGGTTAATAAGGAGAGGAGTGAAATGGAGGAGAGGTTTGAGGAGAAGGTTAGGGAGATTGATGAGTTGAAGAGAGAAATCAAAGGGGTTGTGAGAGAGAAGGCGGAGGTTGAGATGGTGGGACGTGATCAGAAGGAGACGATCGTGGAGTTGGAGAAGAAGTTGGGGACTGTGAATGAGATAGTGAAGAGTTTGACTAAGGAAGGGGAGGGGTTACGTGGTCAGGTTGTTGAGTTGGAGAAGAGTCTTGATGAGGTTGTGGAGGAAGCGAAAGCGAGGGCGGAGCAGATCAATAGACTGGTGAAAGAGAAAACTGTTAAGGAATCTGAGCTTGAGGGTTTAGTGGTGGAGAACAATTCGATTAAGAAAGAGATTGAGATGGCTATAGTGAAATTCTCTGATAAGGAGCGACTGGTTGACCAATTGTTGCGCGAGAAGAATGAGCTTGTTAAGCGTATTGTTAACCAGGAGGCTGAGATTGTTCATCTGAGTAAACTGGCGGATGAGCAAGAGCGTGTTGCAGTGCAGCTGCGAAAGGATTGTAATGATCAAATCAAGACTGGTGAGAAGCTTAGCTGTAATGTTAGCAAGCTTAAGGATGCTCTGGCGCTGGTTGAGGTTGAGAGAGACAATGCTAAGAAGGCTCTTGATGAGGAGAAGAAAAACCGGGTGGCTCTTAAGGAAAGAGTTGTCGAATTAGAGAAAATGATTGCATCCACTGGTAAAGAGCTTGAGAAGATTAAGGCTGAGCGAGGGAGATTGATTAAAGATAAGAAGGAATTGGAGAATCGATCTGAGTCATTGAGAAACGAAAAGGCTACCCTTCAAAAGGATATCATAGAGCTGAAAAGAGCTATGGGTGTTTTGAAAACAGAACTAGAATCTGCTAGAACCAATGCAAAACAAAGTCTAACAATGCTGAAGAGTGTGTCCTCTCTAGTATGTGGATTAGAAAACAAAAAAAGCGAGAAGAAGCGTGAAAAAGGAATGGATTCCTACTCTGTGGAGCTAGAAGAGATCAAGAAAGCGTTCAAAAACAAAGAAAGCATGGTCGAGGGAATGAAGAAGGAAATAGAGAAAATGAAGCATTCGGTGGACGATGCACACAAGAAGAAGAGCTTTTGGACTCTTGTGTCATCTGTTACTTCTCTCCTCATGGCTGCTTCTGTTTGCTTATGCTGCTTCGCTCAAGTGATCACCTGAAGCTGAAGATGGTACTACCCTATAACTCTCAGGACAACATTACCGCATTTGAGTTCTCATTTTTTGCTGTTTAACTTCTAAACCATTTAGAGCATCTTATGAGCTTTTTACTCATATCTCCTCTATGTAGTTGGTTCAATAACTATCATGTAAACCTTTTTTTTCCTTTTCTATCTAGCTCTGTCTGTGTTTCTGCTACTTTTTCTCTCTGAACATGTAGTTGATTCCCAGAAACTCTAATAAACTTGTTTGTTTCATGTTCATATATCAATCAATATATATTACATCTTTTGGTATCAAGTTTGTGTCTTCATTCTCCACTTGATTGATAATATGTGAATATGATAAATTTTGGAGTAAGCATGTAAGTTAGAAGTAGGTGAGGAAGATATGTTGATAGATATTATTTATCAAAGCTAATTATAACCACATTCTTCATAATGTTTTTCTTTTAAAAGAAAGATTGAAGCCTCTTACCAAAACCAACTTGTCTTTTTCATTCCACATCTAGTCTTATTCTAAGTGGACTCCATATATTTTGTATATATTATTATAAAATTAGCTTATTTTTGTATCTTTTTTGCTTCTTTTTTGTGGGTTCCACAAGATTATTAACTATATTCTCATCATTGTGCAAAGAATAAGATACATTTCATATAAAAACAAAACCCTTTTTATTGCTTTTTCATAAGCAAATAGTAACAATATTGCAAGTCTTTTGAAGAGTCAATTTTTTCTTTTTGGTTTCCTTTGTGGTGCTCCAAATGCAATGAATTTCTTCCTCCATGTGACATTTTGGTTTTACATTTAAAGTAGAATTATAAGACTTTATACATCAAATCTTTGTCAATGATTACATTGCAATAACGCCTACAAATGAGTGAATTTGAATGTCTTTTCTTTTTTAGTTTTAAGCTTAATCACTCGGACTATGAGTTTGAGTTCTTCAAATGGTTGCTTCGACATCTTCTTTTCTTAACACAAAGAAAATAAGATCACTTTTAGGATAAACAAATACAACTTCACATTGCTCAAGTTACAACAACTTATATTATACTAAAATAAAAACAAAAAAACACACTTATAATTAAACATATTGCTGATGTATGTATATGTACTAGATAGATATTTACCGAAAATATCATAATAGAAACATAACCAAAGTTACCATCAACCGCAAGCTGAAAAAAACTCAGCTCTAGTTAAAGTCAAAGGCTAAAGCTAAAAAGCCAAACCTTACCGACCACACTGTTCTTCTTCCTGCTTTGCTTTCAGAATCCAGCTAAGGACGGTTCACAAACGCGGACGCAGCTACCACCACCGTGGTAGTAGTTAAACGCCATTCTTTTGACTGACTACAAAGACCTTCTAAAACGAGAATCTCGGGCTTTCACCTTCCGTGGTGGATTTCACCCGTTTGTTAGTGAAGAGATTACGGTGAGGGAAAAGAGCGTTTTCATTGGCATTCTGCGTTTACAAATGCAGCTATCTCGTCCATAACGGTATGGAAGTGATTGTTGTTAGGCAATAAGTAGAAGCCAATGGTGGCTTGCTCTAAGTAGAGAAGCTTCACATCTTGACCCGCTTTCTTGAGTCCTTCCGCGTACTTCAATTGCCAATCTTGAATCAAATCTAAACCCGCTACAACGACCAGACTCTTGGGGAAACTCAACCCTTCTAAACTCTTGCTTCTCGTGCCAAACGGGCTACACGCTGGATGCTCTCTGTCTTCACCCTCGGGAAGAAACGCTCTCCAATACCAATCGCGGTCTCTGACGGTCACAAAGTATTTCCCATCCAAACGTTTCTCAGATTCCGTTCTCTCAGTCCCTCCAAACATAGGGTTAAGCAAAATGTTCCCCAAAACATTGATCCCCGACTCAACCGCTCTTAGTGCGACATTATGCACAATGTTACCCCCAGAGCTATCACCCGCCAAGAAAATATGAACCTTTGAATCTTTCTTGCTTTTAAGCCAAGAACTAGAGTTGACCCAATTCAAAACAGCCCAGCCATCATCATAAGCACAAGGGTATCGATTCTCTGGTGCACGACGATAATTCACAGAGACAACAACAGCACCACACAAACCAACAAGCCTACGGCAAAGAGTATCATAAATAGCACTGTTTGCAGAAGAATGTGCAAAGCTTCCACCATGGAAGAAGACAATAACAGGCACTATTTCACCATCAACGGGATTCTGAAGATCGGTAATACTTGGTGGAGGGCCAGCATTAGCCGGTCTGTATACTCGGCTAAGCAAATTCGTTTGGCGATCAATGATAACATCGAACGAGAAGACCCCATTAACAGGGTTGGCGTTTGCAGGGACTTTCCGGTCTAGAAACTCAGCAAGGTGACGGTTAAAAGTTCCGTCAGGGCGGCGCAGGAGATTGTAGGCTAGCTTAAAGTTGGATATCAGAACCCATGTATTGAGAGGCACCACTGTCTGCAACAAAAAACACAAGACAGAACAAAACATCAGAGGACTTTCTAACAAAGGCAATCACAAAATCATGAGGAGATAGCAAAAAAGAGGTCAACGAAGGGATTTTGAAGTATTCACAAACACAACAAAACTTATAAGAGGTATAAAAGGCTTCTTCAAATTCTGTTAAAGGTCCATAAGAGTCTTAGTCCTTTGCCAACTAATTAGCAAGTTGATTTGATATGATTTCAACACTTGACAGTAGAAACAATCAAGAAATGGACAACAAAATCAAAAGTGCAAAATCAAGAACTACCAAAAAATTCTGATTTTGCCTAGAATCAAAATCAGTCACAAGAGTTAGAGAAAAACTAAAAGCCAAATAAAGCCAAGAAAAGCTCCTAAATTAGTAAAGACCCATCAAGAAACCGACACGTTTCATCACCCCCAAACGATGAAAGCTCCAAGCTTTGATTACTTAAAACTTAAAAAAAAAACACATACAAAACTAGGAACAATCCATGAACACAGATAATACCCAAAATCACAAAAGACCCATCTAACAATTACAATCACAAATTGACACCAAAATCAATAAAAAGGTCTTACCTTGCTCTCAATAAGATTAACTTCTTCACTTCCAGCCATTGGATAAGTAAAAAAATCTTCTTTTTATTACCAATCAAACAGCACAAAGACACGAAAGCCCAGATCGAAAATTTCCCTCAAGATTTCGATTAAGAAAAGATTTGAGCCAAGAAGGGAAATTTTCAATTACTAAACGAGACTCAATGAGTAAAGTTTTTATCTTGAAATAGAAAGAAACCTGCTTTTAAACGTCAGATCAAAAGGTTTAACATTTTTAATACGGAGCATAAGCAATAATAATAATAAGGGTTAGTGAAATTTTTGAGCTTACAATAAGAGGTGTGGTGGATAAGAATATCTGCGTAGGTTAGTATGAGTTTGACTACAGAGTATAATCTGCGCATGTAAATGCAAGTCCAACGCGTCGGGGAAAGAGTTGGGTGGACCTCAAGAAAATAATAAATTATAGCATGTTTTAATTTTTTGTTTCGTTTGAATTGAAGAATATAAAACTTTTTAATCTGTTCGCAACGGGAAACAAAGTTTTTTTTTTCTTGTTTTGAAATTTTTAGTATGATATTCACGTAACAAAAAGAGAAAATTTATTTTATTATATAAAATTTACTTTATTATATAAAATTTAGTTTCCTAAAATTATTAATTCACATAATAGCAATACATATTATATTTATCGAAGCTAATGTTTATATAAACAAATTAGAAAAATTGGTTAACCCAAACTATATACTAACATAATAGATATTAAAATATATTTGGTAGGAATTTTAGTTTCTTGCAAAATGATAAAGAAATATAGTCTACAAGATTAATCGACTTCAACACTACTAACAAATATCAGACTATAGAATATATTTACAGAGATATTGGCCGCCGTAGATTACTCAAGTCTTAAGGAATTATTAATTTATAAATTATTAATACCAACTGATTATTAATTAATGATTAATACTATGATACCGTCCTAATAGAATAGTATTATTTTAACTAATTATTTTTAAATCAGAAAAATATGATACTGATCTTAAAAGAATAACATATTTTATGATCAGAATCATATCCATAATAATTATCCAAACTAACAAATCAGTTTTCAAAATTTAACATTCAATTAATTTAACTAATTATTTTATCTCACTCCTAAAATATTATGCAGTTGTATAATAACTAAAAATAGAGTTATATATAACTCATCAGCAAATGATTTCTCAATCGAACGAATGGTTAACTGCAATTATACACATCTCCCAAACCACTAATTAATTTACTGAGCAGATTTTGATTAACTCCGACCTCTAATTGATGAACGGTAAGCGGCCTTGGATTTGTATGGTCAATATGTTGCTAACAAGGTATAAAACAAAGCCTAACTCTCCCTGAAAACAAATTCACTATTAAAGAGTTTGAATCTCACTGTTATGGAAGAAATTTAAGAATAAAGAAGATGAAACTTGCCATACACTCTTACCAAAGGTGAAAGCAACCCAAAACTAATAATAACATTAATTATCCACCATAAATTATGATCATTAGTTATCCAAAATATAAAAATCGGAGTTGAGGCAAAAAAAAAAAGTTTCAAAAACTCACAAAAAGTCTCAACATTATCAAGAATTAATGTTGATAAACTCTCTTGCATATAGTCGTTGTTCTTTTTTTGAAAATTTCACATCACCTTTACAAATACCATAATTCTTATATATATTTAGACAATTATTTTTTTTTACCAAAAAATTTAAGAACTTTTACAATCAAACCAACTAAAATTTAGATAGATGGCTCTGTGAAATAATAATTAAGCTCTATATATTTACTTCTCCAAAAATATCAAGACTCATAAATTCTAAATCTCATAATATTTTTTTAAAAGTTTATAAACACAAGTTTTGAGAAAACTAGCAAAACAAAATTGTGTTGTTCTCTCTTGTATAAATTCGATTTTTCTGAAACTAAATTATTTTCTTATACTACATTTATTATGAATTGGAATATTGGTGTTATAAATAAAGTTAGTATAAAAATATAAATTTTCAAAGATTCTTAAACTTAGACTTTTTTTTACCTCTTATTTTTGCCTTGTTATTAACATGTTTAACTATCAAATGTTTTAGAGAGCATAATAATCTGATAATAATTTTAGGTATACCAACTTCTACGTTTATATAAAATAAAAAATTTACATCATGCTTACTTGAATTGATTTACTTGGTTAGTTTTATACTATTACATATATTACATACATATGTTAATAGATACAAATAAAAATGTTTATTCTGGTAAATTATTTTTGACAATTAAATTAAAAATAGATATACATGTTTTATACATGGGAGAAGTGTAAGATTAAATCAAACTTAAAAAGATAAAATTATAGAAATTATTTTCTTATTAAAAATGTTTTCTAAAAATGAAACTCAAACTATTGACACCTCCATATACCTAGATAAATTTGAAATAACCCTTTGAAAAGGTGGTAAAGATAGTGAGGAAGTTGGATTTAGAGGCTTATCTAAAGATGTATGTTCACTTTTGTTAGCAAAAGTGGTTATCCTAAACAATGCAAATGCTATTTCTCCCATGTTTCTACAATGCTTACTTCCTATAAGTAAATAAAATCGGCTAATATGTTTGAGAGACAATAATGATGGTAGTCTTTAAATATTTATTAAAAATAACAAAAAATATGGTAAGATTTTAAATGAAAAATAATAGAAATATTTTGATTCTTAATATATGTTTTTTTTCTTTTACTTTTTCTTCTAGTTTTTTTGTATAAAACGTTTTCTATGCCTAAGAAGTGGATTATCTCTACCATCCAAATTTTCTTTGATTTTGGATTGGATGATGTACTATGTAAAGCATAAAAAGACACACATAATATAAACATGGTAAAAGTATATCAAAACATGCTTGAGAACATGAAAGAAAAAAATATATCTTATTTTCTTTTATGACTATATATAAACTGTGTCTATATGATTATGTATTCTTATTTTTATTATATTGATTATAGTTTTTATAGGTTATTTGACAGTTTTATAACATGCTCCAACGTCATCTTGATTTTTCAAAGAGTACGCATCTCACTTGCTTATAATTTTTTCATGCATGTCATCTATATGCTTTGATCCGATCGTGTAAATAGTTTTGATACATGGTTTAAGAAATTTGGACTGTTAAACTTTAAATTGAGGTCTAACAAACCGTGACCATATTTGAGAAAAAGTCGCATAAGTTAATAAAGTAAACACAAGGAAAAATAATGGAAATCGTGTAGTTCTTACTACAGTCAAATAAATAACGAGTGGACGTATAGAAAAATATGACTATTTTGTGAGTGAACAAGTTAAACAATTGCGTAATGAAAAAAATGAGGTGATTTTAATTTTTTTCAGTGATAAGAAATTTGGTGTTGATCATTACATCAATTGAATTATCTCTACTCTATTTGGTTTTGAGGTCAATTGTATTGTCTCTAACTATATCATTTTGTTAGAATAATTAGTAGGGCGATAAAACATCAAATTTAAATCTAAGCCACTAAAACTACATTAGTTGAAGCTTTGTTCTTACAACTTTCAGCTTACCCTAAGTGAGAAATATGTTATACTCATTGCTCATTGTATAATCAATAAGACAATAATTTGTAATTTCAAACCCGTGAAATATAATTATAGTTTATATTATATATAGATACATAATAGATAGAAACAACTCATCATCACCACCATGTTGTCGCAAATGCTCAGCCATAAATGAAACTTTGGTAATAGACATAAACCAAAACATTTGACGTTAATATGGTATAGAAGACCTTGGTAATATTTGTTTTAATACAAGTGAATGTAGTGCTCTACCTAATATCATTAGTAACTCTTTTTAAAAAGTGTAGAAAGTGAAGTGTTAATGATTTTTTTTAACAAAGATGATAGTATAATTTTGTTTGGTAGTACTTGTCTTTTATGCAAGTTTCCAATGTGATTGATAATATTGAGATGTTGTTTTAATCTAAAGGAAATAAATAGTCCAAAATTGAATATGAAACCATTTAAAGTTTAAGTTGTTTTTTTCTTTTTGCTAATATTTTGTGAAATAGAATTATTAGGGATGATGAGATACAAAGCAACAAATTCCTGAAAAAATGAGTAAAATATGATAACTGCTCATGAACCTGAAAGAAAATAAATAAATAAATTAAGTTATAACTTTTTTTTCCTTTTGAAGATGAAAACTTTTTAGATTACTCGCAAAACTCATGCAAATAAGAAAAAATGAATATTTTACATCTAATGATCCATAAATTATTATTATATTACTTATATTTCACAAAGAAATATTTTACATCTAATTATTTTTATAAAAAATAAAAAGTTAATATATAAAAGTTTGTAAATATGTCCAATAATGATTTTTTTCGAAAACCACAACAAGAAGAAACAATCTGTTTCTTAGTCATATGGATAAACAAACTCAAAGAGAAAAAAATTGATATGCTTTGTAAGAAAGTCGAGTTTGATTACACATTCTCTAAAAAAAAAAATTGTTGTCACTATATAATTTTGAAGTCTATTAATTAATTTAATATTTATAATAAAAAGAGAAAAAGTAGATATGTAAGTAATAAACATTTACCAACTAAACAATTGTAAGTCTAGAATGCTTCCATTAATTGATATTCTTTTACTTAATATTACAGAAGTACATAGCTAAAATTAACTTGATCTCTTATCAAAAATTAGATCAAATTGCCATTACAAATATGAGTTTCAAAAAATAAATTAATAAAGTAATTTAGGGTAAAAATGTTAAATACGAGTATTTAATAACTAATCAAATTGGAATAAGAAGTTTTTATATCTAACTTACCAAATTAAATATTTAATAACCAATCATTATACTTCTTATCTCATCTATGTTTGATTATATTTTGTGAAAAAATAAATAATCATATCATCTATATAATAAAAATTTGTTTTTTTCCGCATATTGCATGAGTTGAAATTTCTAAAAAGGAAATAAATTGTTCAACCTACAAAGAAAAAATAATACTGCGTCAAATTTCACATCAAACATGGAGATAAGTAGTAATCGAAAAACATAATATATATAAGTATATATA